CCCCAAAACCCCAAAACCCCAAAACCCCAAAACCCCAAAACCCCATAACTTAATGTAATATTTACGATATTTTATATAATGATGCTAAACTCTAAGCTAATCCCTCTAGCTTCGGTAATTATCTTCCTCAACATCTTGTGAGCAACCGGTATCTGCGTGCTTGCAAAGAAATATTGGTGCTTTGGAATCAGAGAGTTTTACTTCAGGTCAATCGCAGTATTCTTGATGGTAGCTTACTTGATACGGATTGCTGAGCTCGTTTATGTGTACATCATAGTCGAACGTAATCAAGAGTTTAATAAACAAACTGACAGTGAAGCCCAATTTTATAGAAATTGGCTGGTTTATGGCCCAATAATATTCCATGGGTTCTCGTTGTTAAGTTATGTGTGAAGATGGTCAAGTTTTTGAATAATGACAACAGCACAGATTAGTATCAGAGAAAGAAAAATTAAGAAGCTAAACAGAATAGTCAAGATTATCTATATAGTTGTGCTCTCCTTATACCTGATCATTTATCTCTTCAATCATTTTATTCGCAAAATTTTGTTTGACAGCTTTTCAGGCTGGTCTGTGATTCTCCTCAATGCTTCATGCGCTATTTGACTGGTATTTGTTTCTAATTATTTCTTATGAATATTAAAAAAGCACAGGAGATCTCTGTATGACCAAAAGGCTACACCAATCAGGATATACACTACCTTGATCAGTTTCTGGGTCTTACTGCGAGTGGCAGGACTCTCACTTGATTTATATATTCAGATTTGAAGCTCTGAGGAGACAAGGCTGTTTACTCTTAACATGATAGGGCTTATATGTTGTTACTTTACTGAGCTATTCCCTTCGATCACAATCATGGTGATTCTCTGGAAGTCGTTCAAAGAGATTGAGCTAAACATGATCAATAAAGAACTCAGTGCTAATGATAAGACTGAATCTGAGCAGAGTAAGTCCCTGAATTTTTTGTCTTTATTCTCCTTAAAAATATCTAACTCTTTTTCTAGCGAAGCCATCAAATTATCAGTCCAATACTTCTTTGAAGAAACATCTCCTTGAGACAAGACAGGCATCTGATTTGTACGATGATAGCTTGAAGAAATCTAGTTTGCTGTCCTTCTCACTGATCTCTGAACATGAACTTGAGTCTACCAGCAAGTGGGACGATGAGATAACTGCTGAGTCACGCTCTTTCCTTACTTATTATTAAACATTGTTCAGGTTCCAACAAATTATTCTGATTTAAGGCCAGCTTTCAATACCCTCAAATGCCACGGGGTTTTGGGGTTTTGGGGTTTTGGGGTTTTGGAG